AGGGGGAGAGTTAGTGTCGTGAATTGTTTTTACTGGTATATGATCTATTACGGCTATTACGATACGAACTAAAATAAAGTTACTGTGGAACCAAACACAGTCTTATCCTTGACGTCCGTAGCAAGTTCGCTTGAAGTAGGTGTCTATGTGCCAGGAAACTGTGACGAGTTTCCGTTCCCGCTGCCAAGTGATCTTTACTGAGTTATTTCCCCCCCCTTATTGTTGCGTTCCCCGCAAATTCCATTTAGTGCGAAAAACCTATCGTCACAATTTATCATGTTGAGTGGTTTTACCTAATTTGACCATTTTAAGCGGTTGGACCATTTTTTAAGGTAGACCATTTTAACTGGTTGGACCATTTTAAACAAATGGATCATTCAACTAGATGGATTGGCGCACTAACTGCTTTATTATTCGTTTATTGTTTTGTAGAGTTGTAATCGGACAGTATAATCGGTCAGTTGGCCATAATCGGACATTTTATCTTACAATTGAAAATGTTTTAACTACATAAAATGGTCCAACTACCAAAAATGGTGTTACTAATAAAAAATACTCCAACTGCTTATAATGATCCAGTTAACCAGTTAAAGCAGAACAATCAGTTAAAATGGTCCACTAACAAAAAGTGATCCAACTGCTTAAAATGGTCTTACTCCATATAATGGTACAACTGTTTTAAACTATTTGGCAAAATAGAATTGTCCAACTTGTTTAAATGGTTCAGCTAGAGGAAATTGTCTTAATAAATAGAATGGTCCCACTTTGAAAATGGTCCAACTCATTAGAGTAGGGTATACCCGTGTATACCTTGGAAGTTGTACAATCTTTTTTTGTTTATCTTAGTTTGTACATGGAGATAGTTTTGTAAAGGGGGGGGGGGGGGTGAGAGGCGGGGGAGGAATCAAGCGTCCTAGGTCCCACCAAATCATTCGAGAAAACTAAAGGTAAGTAAACTTTATTCAGCAGACTATCAGAAGGGCGGATGAAGTTTGATAAAGGAGATCAAAGGTTACTAATCGTATTAGTTATGAATCGAATAAATGATGTCACTCGGCCTCAAACCTAAAAGGGTTTTCTACCGGCGGTGGAGGTGCATTATATCAGTTTTGAACCTGATCTCATGCATATAAGTGATATTTACTCGCTCGGCGAAACTATTAAAGCTTTAGTCATGTTACTTACTCCCATTAGCATCATACATATAGCCCTATCGAACAAACGCAGACATTGTTTCTTTTATTCAATAAGGGTTAAATCGCGTTTCTTCTTATGAATCTCTTGACAAACCACCCTGACACTACTCGGCGTCTGTTGATATAACGAACGACATTTGAAATTTCGATTGTTCTCCGTGGCGAGTTTGCTGGTGGCGTGTGCTCGTGATGCAGCGACTGACAATGATATTTTGTGACGAATACACAACAAAAAAATACAATTACCCACAATGCTGTGGGGGAGCTGGTAATCTGCGAGGTAAACAGAAAAAAGGAAAACTCAGTGTATCGCATCGAGCGTACTCTACCTCATCAAGTAAGGGATAATTGTATATCTAAATCTTGAGCGAAAATTTTAGAAATCACAGCAATGCACCACTACCGACAGACACATCTTGATTCAGGAGAAACTTGCATCTACATTTTGATATTATTAGAGTCGTCATCAGTCATTTTCTTACAGCTTATGATCAGGAACAAATATTTTGTAATGCTTAGACTTACTCAGGTGTTTTTCTGTGCTAGATCTTTTATGCTGAAAACCAGACCAGAGCGAAGGGAATAGCCTTTACTTTTATGAGGTCATTACAACCCTCTCATTTCACAGATGGAAGCTTGCCAGTATTTGTTTTTCCACAATCGCTAACTTTTTATGCTGACGAGCAGTCTACACACAAGCAAGTGCTCACGGTTTACAATCCCTACGAGTTCACTTTACGGTTTAAAGGTATGTAATAATGAATGTAACGGAAGACTGAATAGTAGTTTTGAGTTGCAGTTTGTTTAAGGGAGGTCTGGTCATTTAATAATGTTAAAGCTCACCGTCAACGTGTGTTTGAATTATATCTTCATTTACCTGTTGTGTTTGTTTTGTTCCAAGTGTTTTGCACCGCTCCAAAGAGATATATGGTGGTTGATTCTGATGGCGTGATCAAACCTAGATGCTGCATTGATATGTATGTAACAATCCTGTATTAACCTTTATGTCCTCCAGTACAATCCTATTGAAGGTATAGGTGACCCCCAACTGAAAATTCAAGTCAAAGTAAAAAGTAAAAAGTACTTCCCCATATATGAACCTTGCTGGACGATGATGTTGGTTTGTCATGGACTCTGGCAATTCCTTGATAATATAAACCTTTTCTGTTACTGATTATATCCATTCCTTTGAGTCAAGAGCAACTCAGTAGTCAAATGAAAGTCATTTTCTGTCTACAATCTTAGTTACCTTGAAAATGCATGATTAAATTTGGAAACAGAATTTGTGTAAATGTTCTATAAATTGTTTACTTAAGCAAACCAGTGAATTAATAAAGGGGGTAAGTTTCTAGATAAACTGTGGTGCTGTGTTGGTAGAAGACTATAACAGGGTAATTTGGTGTTATCAACTGAATTGATAAAGAAAATTGGCCACTGTAAAGAGTTGAAAGGCTGACATTTCAAGTGTTAACCCTTCCTCAATCACTCTGATGAAGGGCTAACCTTCTAAATGTCAGCTTTTTAACTCCTACAGTGGCCAATTTATGTCATCAGCTCAGTTGATAATACTAAATTACAGTGGATTAATAACAAATGAAAAACAACACAAGTGGTAGTGGTGTTACAATTTAACCTCTCCACAGCTATCACTTCAAAAACCTGGGAAAATTTGGCTGGTTGAGGATAATGGCTATCATTGGGAAGAAGGGGTCTAAGGGTCTTTCAACATCATATATCCTTTTAGTAATGATCCAAGAAGCAACTTCCTGTTGTTGATGGTTGTAACGCTTGCACAGTGCATCTCTATATGTTGCTCTGTCATTCACTCAGCCTAGTCTTTTTTCAAATAATTTACAAAATTTTATAATTCTGTTGTTACAATCATTTAAGTAGTTTTATAATTATTATCATGACTATGAATTTTTTTGTATTTCTTCTGTTTTTTTTTTTTTGGTTTTTGTGATGATGACTGCATTAACCAAGTGTACATGTACCAAATATTATGTTTTCCTGTGGTGATTTCAGTAGTTTTGCCTTTTTTTCTGTCCACATTTCTTCATTCTTGTTAATTGTTTAATTTTCGACCAGTGAATATTAAGCATGGCATATGGGCAATAGGATATAAATTGAAGCCTGAAGTTCCTCTTCCTCAAATATTCCCTTTTGAAAAATGAAGTTAAGTTTAAAAAAGAACATAACAAAAATACCAGATATACCCATGAGTATATTAGGTCAAAGATGAGAAATAGAACTTATATCATGACTTCTCCTAGTTGTTGTTTTGCTGATAGCCAGTTACCAGTAAAGAAAATTGCAGGGAACACAAAAATTTTGATGTTAGCAAAATAAAACTTAAAATAATTTAAGTATAGTAATACAAGTTTGTTTTCAATTTCCTTTGTATTTATATATTTAGGATTTTATTATTGATTATTGTGCTCACTCTCAGTTAAAGTGATTCAAGTTTTTATTTTTATTGAATTTTAGAGTAATCCGTCACAGTGATGTTCAACCTGCCAAAACACAGCAAGACAAATTTCGACTTCAGGTCTTTGAGTATGGGCTACAGAAAGTCATTGGTCAAAAAGAAATCATGGCTGTCCTTCAGCCAAGCCGGACAGAACATCAACAGGTATTGATGGCACACCAACAAATGTTCTCCTAAAGGATAAATTTCTTAATCCCTCTAGACTGTCAGTGTCCTTATATGCAAAACCATGATAACTACTGTAAATCTCATGAGGACCACAATGAGAACTATTGGTTCTACCAGTAATTGTGTTATCCAATAAAGTCATTATTATTATTATTATTACTATTATTATTTCTAGCCAACCATACCCTCAAGTCTAGAGTACCACTGGTAATACTTATTACAAATAAAACAGCAAATATGCTAAGCTAATTTGGCTGAAATCTACAGTAGCCTGCAGGAGTCATTCTAAATTATGAAAATAGCTGATATTGGTTTTGGAGTTCTAACTATGAGTCCAAAGTTACAACAGTTACTTTGGATCCAAACTTATAACTATGGAGTGAAGAATGAAAAAGTAAAAAGTAGGGATAGAAAGCTATAGCTATAGATCCAAAGTTATACTAGGGATTCAAAGTCACAAAAGATCCATAATTAGAATCTGTAACTTGAGAGCTGTTGTAATAACTTTGATCAGTAGTTATGAGGTCAGATCTGTAGCTTTAATTTTGAAACTACAGTTATTACTTTGGATCCATAACCCAAAGCCAATATCCAATTTTTTTCTTTCATTTATAATGACACCTTCAGGCCGCAGTAGAAATCATTTAAAATCAGATCTTCCCATTAAGTAGGCCTTGTGGTAACATCATGATGCATTTAATTCATTTTAGCCACCAATGAGATGGCAGTACATCTTTAAATCCTCTAAAGTGAAAAATTAGCAGTACTGAAGAGGGTTTAATGGTTCAATTTTGGTCTGGTTACTGATTGTGTGCATTTTGTCCTGGTGCAAAAAAATATGTGATTTCTTGTAACAAGGTTCAGTCAGCTACTGTCAGTGACTTTTAATAAATCAGCTGGTTTGTGGGTATAAGTATTCTAGAGTCATGTACATCTCAAGAGCCAGTGGGCAGCTTGCTTTGTTTCTCCAAGTCTTTTTGTGTTCCTCCCATGAGCCCTTGTATTCCTCCTCCTAAAAGCTTCAATCTTTCACTTAAACCACAATCAACCATGTGAAATATAATTTTTCTTTTGTGATGTCATGGCCTTTTAACTAAACAGAAAAGTCTTCTCCTTGCAATCTCCTGACAATTTTATGGGAGGTTACAACCTCCTGCAAATTACTGGGGAGGTAAATAAGAGGATCTTCAAGAAACATCTGAAAAGTTTATGGAAAGTAACTAGGTGATGTACCATCAGTCCCAATACTCATTCATCAGGCAAGAGCAACTGTATTTTTGTCATATTTCAAGCCATTTTGAATTTACTCTTTCAGTTTAGTAATCACCTTGCATGAGGTGACTGAAGCACAGTACAAAGCCATTCCCCAGCAGTCAGAGTGCTTACATATCTATATTCACTTGTATGATTTATTACTTATGTCTAATACTTGGTTGGCCTCAGATGCCTCGGGAGAAATCAACCACAAGATCCTTGAGGTCACAGAAAACAGAGAGCAGTGGTGTAACTGTGGAGCATTTTGCAGACTCAGGTAATATTAACAATAGTCATTACCCCTTCAAATAAAATTGAAACTCAGAATGCTACTGTTCAAGTGAGGAATTGCAGTTGGTGAAAGCCACAAGTGTATCAAGTGAAAGCATCAAGGGTAATTTAAGATTGAGTTTCTTTGCTTTAATAACAGGGTTGGTGGGTCAGCAGGGTCCCAGTTTGTGGGTAATAATTATGGCTGTGGTGTGTATTATTGCTCTGGTATTACCACTGGACAGTGACAAGTATACAGGATCAGTACCGCGCTACCTTCTACTGTCAATCAATCAAAAGTTATTGGCCTCTTTTATCCTAGGTAGGCATGGCTGTTTTTTTTGTTATTTTCATTAATTTTAGCAGGAATGCCTTGATTAGAGTGCCTCTTCCTAACACAGTATTAAATTTTAAAAAAGTAAGGAAACATTTTGGTGGGTTGCTTCATTGGTCAGTTGGTGGGGAGTCTACCAGAATGGCACTGAAGATTGTTGAAGATAAGTTGAACTGTTTGTTGGGGGAAGAATGACATGCACTGGGGGTGTTCAAATTTCTGCAGGGATTTTTGTCAATGTTCTTAGGAAGAGTATGCACTGGTAAGTGCAACTTTCTACTTGAAATGAGTCAAAACCAGTTAAATGACAGCATTTCTATATAATTTGCAGGTCTTATAACAATGGCAGTTTTAAAGACATGACAGTATTTACACTGTAATGGAGTATTTAGCTGACAATATTAGTAGTGGTGATGATTTTACTTTTATTATTATTGTCAGTGATATAATTTTTAGGAGCATACCAGAACAGCCTTGAATTTAAGTTGAATCTTATAACAGCCTTGATATAAGCCTATAAGCTGTGATAAAATTAATAGGTATTACAAAAAATACAGCTTGCACATGAAATAAACCATTTATCTATGTTGCAATATAGTTTTACAGTTTGTTTTCCTGTAGATTTATTTCAATTGGTTCTCTAAAGACATTTTAATTATCATTTCTTATCCTCATTGAGTCTAAGATGAAAAGAAAAAAATGACCTTAACTGTAGTCATTTACTAGACAGGTTTGGGTGGAAGAGGACTTAATGCATATACTGGGGTTTGGTTCCAATTAACTTTTAGTTTGGCTCAAACTAACTTTTGCAAAGATTACTTTCCAGTAGACAATACTTTGAATAATTGCTGTTGTTCCAGGTTGGATGGTAGTTTCCATCAGATTAATTTATTTATGAGGCAGGTGCTACAAAACAGGCTCCTTTATTCAAATATTTGAATTAACAGTGCAGTTGTACTTCAACCTGATGGTTGTTGAGTGTAAATAAGGGACTTTAATACATATAAAGAAATGTGTAACGTTTTTTTTTCCCCATAATCAAAGTGGAGGGATGTGTGCTGAACTCTGTTGACTGTGCATAATGAAGCCGTCATGTAAATGGACTTGCCTATTAATAAATAATGATGCAATCTCTTTGTAGACTGTGTTCTTTTAATGTTACTGTTCAGTAAACTAGTGGATCATTAATAACAGCAATTACCAACACTAACTTAGAACTTAAAACAAAGGCATTGGTAGGTTGTATGTAAACCCTCAATACTAGAAACAAAGATTGAATGGGCATGCTTACATTAACTGCATGTGTGCCCCTGCATTTGGCTTTCCAAAGTGCACTACTAAATAGTAGTTTTGAATTTCTTATCTCTAGTGATTTAAAATACTTCTCTGTAACCTTGGATGTTTGGTTATTATGTGTAGTTTATTTCTATTAACATATGTTTGTAACTACTTCTATTACAGCTATACACACACCAACCTTTCACTAATACAAATTCAGAAAACTGTGAAAAAAACAACTTAGCTACTGAAACTGTTACACTTATTGCCCTAGTCACTACATTCATAGCTTGATTTGGACATACTTCCCAGATACCTAGGATCAATCACTTTCTAACTTGCTTCATCCCATTTGTCCTGAATTGATGCAGCTGTATGAACATACCATCATGCAGTAGCAATATCAGGCTTCAGATGCTATTAGTTGTGGATTGATTGCGACACTCTTTGTACAATTATCAGTTTTAAATATACCAATTAAACGATCAGCCAACTCAAACATATTGTTTCGCAGGCTGATTATTATAAACTGAGCATTTTTTGTCCTCTCCTAAAACAAAGAGCAAAGACAATAAATACAAATCAGTCAATAATTCATGATAGGGGTGGTGCAGGGGTCAATAATTTCTAACCATGAGTATTAAAAATGGTCAGCACCACTATTATGCAGATATGATGTGTGACACTGCTTGAGTACAAGAAGTTTGCTACAGTTATTGTAGCCTACCATTTAGCGAAGTTCTGAAACAGTCTTCAAGATCATCTGATACTTTTTCAAAACATAGCAGAAAACCTTGTGATATGGTTAGGGGGAAAATATTTTGTAATGGTTTGGGTGAAGTGGGAATATAGGGTATGACTAGAAAGTCTAAAATATGTAGTTAAATGCTTGTGTGGAAAAAATATCAGGGGGAATTTAATATAACTGTAAGAGGTTTGAAATTTTTTCAATACAATATAGAGTATTCACAAACAAAGATGGTGTAAATTTAGAAAAGTTTCAGAGATTGCAATCCTGAAATACTGCTAAAACTAAATGCACTGGAATTAATTTACTTTACTGACCTTGATATAATTTGCAACAATTGAAACATTTCTGAAGTCAAGGGCTGCATCAATTTCATCCATCACATAAAGGGGTGTTGGCTTGTAATGATGAAGAGCAAATACCTAAAAAGCCCACAAGAAAAAGAAAATATAAAATTATCCTGAATTACAGTCTCGTCCCATATTTCCATACAAGCACTTTAAACTTCTGTAGGTGAGTGAGCAATCATGACAAAACAAGCTTGGGTGGGGTCTCAAATTTTCAACCTCAGACGACTGTTATCTTGGGTTCTAATTAAAAATTTCTCAGCAGTGAACAGCACAGTACATTAGTTTTCATTATCCTTCTAGTATTCAAAACTACATTGAGTAGTTTACAATGCTTTAAATGGAAACCATTCAAGTGCCCTCAATTTGGGAATCAAGGCCAGAGTAGAACACCAGGAACTATGTTCCCTACTCTTGCAAGAAGTGCATGAGTGCTTTGACATCCCCTGCTGACCAGTACACAGAGGACAGGGCTTATGGTTTATCATCTTCATCTGAGCAGAAAAGAATGTCTAACCATTTGCAGAAGTCAAAGCAAAGGAAGCACATTCTCTTCAGTGTCAGGAAATATGAATAGGTCCTGAGTGACTAGTAACAAGCAAACATAATTCTATATTAAATAAAGTTCCTTTCAAACCCACGGCCTACATGAGTAGTAGCATAAAGTAAAGTGGGTGTTTAAGGGTGGTTAACAACAGATGTGGTTGCAGTAATCTGTGATAGGTGGTTGCTTAGAGATTTCAATTTGGATTCCAACTCTGCTGTTCTCCAACTGAAAATGCAATAACTTTGCACATGGTCCATCAAAAAGGGCCAGATAGGGCAGTTCCGCTGTAGCTTCAATTTTAAGAATCGTTACAAAATATACTAATTGCTAGAACCAAATATGTGCTCATACCAGAGCCAGTGAACTCAGAGTCTTCTCTCCACCAGACAGATTAGAGATATTCTTCCAGCTCTTCTTTGGTGGCCTCACACTAGAAAATAACACCATTATTTCTACAACATGTTCCTCAAACAACCTTGACAAATGACATTTTGTGCAATCTCTGTTAGAACTCTCAAAGCAAATTAATGTTTCCAGTGAATGAGATAACTTTTGCCTATGTCAGTGGAGATTCACAGAAGAGCAAGCAAGTCACTGAAAATTGGTAACTGCCTGGGGAAGGAGTGGGAAACCTTGTTCAGAATCCCTCAGCATTACTACAAAGATGATACTTGTAACTGTAAATTATGCACTGCTGGCCAATAAAGGGTGGCTACTGTTACTAATTGGGCATTCTTTTTTATATCACCTTATTCAATAGAACATCTTGACACTACTTATCTAACACTTTTCACTTCTGTCCTAAACACACTACCCAAAAGTTGCATAAATTCACTTATTTTGATTTTTTTTAATAAGGTAATTACCTTTATCCTCTGTGTTATTAATACTATTATTATTATCCTCAGTATCATTAGTATTATTATTTAGGTACAGGTTCCATTTCAGACATTGAAACACTCATAACAAAGTTTATGGTGATTCATCATAGTGATAACACTAGTAAATGAAGTATTATCAATTGCCTCATGATGTAGACACTTTCAAAGTGGATTATGGTGTTCCGTCTGCACACTGCAAATATTTTTCCTGCTGTGAGGTGAATATCACTGATGCTGGGTAAAGAGGTGATACACAAAAGATTTCCCCAGACAATATTAAGGGAGGGTGGAAAATAAATTGTAGAAGCACAAATGCCCACCATCAAGACTCACTACAACAACAGTGCAATATGGGAAACATCTTCAAATTGCACCAACTGAAGATGCTGAAAACCAGCCAATCACCACTGAGTATAATATTTCAGGGGATAACACATAGCCAAATGATGGCATTACTTGAAGAACAGCAGGATGCAGTTGAAATATTAAATCAACACGAGAAGTGACTATTTCATGAGACAAATTAAAACACTTCAATTCTACTCAAAATCTTGAATCGTTATGCACAGACACAATTTTTTCCAAATTAATCATAACTAGCAAACAACTACATTAGGTCAGTCATGGGTGTTGCTAAACTGTGGATCAGCAGATTGCACAACCTGTGCAACCCATATTTTTTGTGATAGAAAAGTAATGAAATAAAATAAAACTAGACAGCTTAAGACTTCATATGGCTACTGATATAGCACAATTTTTGTGGCACTGAAAAGAACTTAAGGTTACACAATTAGCTGGAAGGTAGTGTTGCAGAAGATTTGTCTCAGATGCAAAACTAAAAACCTGCTGCATCCTACATATTTATGAGTACCCTGTTCCACAAGAAAGATTATTCAAGAATATATAGTAAATAATTGACACAACCAATGATTATATAGTAACAAATAATCATATTGATGATAATAATAATAATAATAATAATAATAATAATAATAATAATAATAATAATAATAATGACAAAAATAGTATATTCTGCCATTCCACCCTCCCAAAATTCCATTGAGTAATGTAACCCTGTAAAACCTCAAGGTATCTTATTTTGGACCTTACTCATTCCAAATTTACTAGATCTTTTGGCTATTAGTTGCTGATAGAAATGGTAAAATCCTCCAACTTTTAGTGAATAACATTTTTCTTCAAAGTTTTCATGATGTGCCAATCAGAACTTTTCGATATTTCTGCAAGCAAAAGTCTTGTGTTCAATTACCTGGAGGAGACACTGCAGTGAAATTATTTTGAGATCTTTATCATCTTTTGTAATTATAACTTCGGATCCACTAAGCATAATTTGCTGATTCAAATGGTGAAATGCTTTCTCTTCAAACAAAATATTTTTTCTCTAAGTTTTCATGATGTGCCAATCACACCTTTACAAGGTAAAGTGTTTTTTTACATGCCATTTTGAAATGATTGTAAGATGTTTACATTTTCTGTTGTCCTTGGAAACAAAACAATGAGTGGTCCCAGGAAACATTGTGATCACATGCTAATTCTGAGCAAAATTAAAAGTAATTCCAAGAGATTGCCACCAAGTGTTGAACAACCAAAGATGTTCTAAAACAAGCAAAAGCCAAGAACAAGGAATATTGGGCAAAACTTTGCAGACTTTGTTGTGGGTGAAGAGGTTGCTTGTATTC